CTCTTACAAGAGATTCTGTCTCAGTGGCCACCTGCAGTGACCACCACAGGGGCGGACCGCCCCCCACCTCTCGCCGCCATGAACTCAGACTCTGCACCGGGAGGAACAGGCCATGTGACCCAGGGTTGTGCCAGGTCTGGCCGCTCCCCCTACCCCCCCCCCCCGCCCGCCTGGGGCATTTGCAGTCCAGGGAGTGCTGAGGCCACCGAGCAGAGCCTGGAGTTTCTCCAAGGGACACACAGTCACACGTGGGAACCAGGGGTGCCCACTACTGCAGGGACAAAAAGAAAAACAAAACAAAACAAAAATGGTTGAAACAGAAAAAATACAGGCCCAATGCTCTCACAGGCAAAACATTCAATGGACTGTGGTCCTTCAGTGCTTTGGGGTGTGGAAATAACTCCTTGGAAACTGGGACCACAGACGAGCTTTCAGGCTGTCTGTTTCGCCAGCCCAATGCCCCCAACAAAGGAGGGTGGTGCTGGCAATGCAGGAAATGAGGGGGCGCAGAGCTGCTGGCTGGCTGCATCCCCCACCGCGGCCTGTTCGTGCAGCTGGTCCTGAAAGCTGGGTGCTGGTTGCCTAGGAAACAGCTTGGATGTGAGATGCCGGGAACTGTGCTGGCGGGCAGGCAGCAGAGATGCAATGGAGGGTTGTTTGCTGGCATCCATGCGATGCCAGGCACCTTCTAGATCCCTCTGAGGCGGTGTCTCCAGACGGTAGGGAAACCGACAGCTGTCACACATGGGGTGTGTGTGGTGTGACAGCTGAGCTGGCGGAAGGACCCGGAAGGCAGCATCCAGCAAGGATTTTACATCCTGCTCTCTTTCGCTCATCTCCTGAGCAGCAAGAAACATCACAGGCGCCGTCAAATGAACAGGATGTAGAAACAGTCTTGCCATTGGATGAGAATCAACCCAGTTTTTAACAATGAGGGTAGTAAAAACACAGTAGGAATATTTAGGAGGCGGTCTCCGGTGACCAGTCCTTGAAAGATCAATGGAGGTGCCCACATTCTGGAATTTATCACTGCTGTAGATCGTGTGTGTATGTGTGTGTGCATAAGACTACATTTTTTTTGTGGGTAAGACTATATTATTTCTACATCGTTTTTTCTTGTATCTGGGGTAAAGGAGAGGATAAAGGGAGCCCCACCCCGTCTCCCACCCACCCAAGTCCCTGATGTGGGGCATGCTCCGAGGGTCTTGCTCAAGTAGTTTTGATAGTTCACCAGTTACGAATCGCTGCCAATCTCACCATTCCAATGATGACCTCCGATGAGGTCGCTGTAGAATCCACTGGCTGACATAGTCCACGTTAGAATCTCCATTTGCCCAGATTTTCACTGCCAACACATGACTGGGGTAGCTGATTGATTTGTTCTGTCCTCTGTTGTGGTGCCAGGTGTCCTCTGCAGGTTCCGATGGACTGCCATATCCTCCATGCACACCTGACTATGCTGTCCACTGCTCCATCTGAGCCTCTGAGGAGGCTCGGCTCTGGCACTTGCACTCCATGGCAGACCATGGCACCTGCACTTCTCTTCATGGTTGGGGTTCTGAGTCTGGCAGTTCAGTTGGGTAGATCCCCAAAGAAACTTTGTCTGAGGTGATCCCAGACCAGATTCTTGCGTGTGCTTGCCAGTACAGGGTCCGGCACAGTCCGTCGCCCCCATCAATGGAAGTGCCCACATTCTTGAATTATCACTGCCGCAGATTTAAAAAATCATTTCATTGAATGTTTCAGCTCTATTTGCATAAGCTCAGTTGTACAGTACTGGGCTGAGGACCTCCTAAGAATGCTTTTTCATTTCTGCTCCAGTCCCCACCTCGATGTGAGGGGTACGTGGGGTCCAGCTGCGGTGGTTATCACAAAATGGCAGCATGGTTACTGATAAAATCCACAGCGCTGGCCTATATGGCCACAATGGAGCTTTTCTGGCTGCCCCCTGCAGTTGGAGCGACCACGCCTATGGCACCTAAACCTCTCCCCACCTGAGTCCCCCGGGGTGGCCAGAGTCCCCACCACCCAGCTGGCTGCTCAGCAGGGACAGCCCCATGGGAAGCATGCTGCTCTCCAAGTCAGCCAAACATGCATTTGAGACCTGGAAGGTGTTAAAGCCCCACGGCTCACCCTTCAGTTTGGGGAGTCCTCCTCCTCTGAGCGTGGGGAGCTTCCCAAGGAATAGCCTCACCCTAGGTCACAGCCTGCTCCTGGGCGCCAGCAGGCAAGGGCTGATGCCTAGGCGAGGGGCCAGGGGCCAGGGCAGCCCTGAAGGCGCAGGTCAGCTGCAGAGCAGGTCTGGGAATCAGTTGCTGTTGTTATTGGAACCCCCATTCAGTTTCTGTCTCCCTCAATCTCCCACCTGTCTGGAACACAACTCATGCCCAAATCTCAAACCTGTTTCTTGAGGAATCAACTGGAGACAGTGAATGTTCAAGTACCGTCACTGGGTGTTTAGATTGTAAGAAAGTAATGGATGCCACCATTTGGAATTATAGCTGAGAACCTACACTATGCCATGGTTTTCCTTTTTTTAAAAAGTTGTCTGTTTAATAAGGCAGAGTTACAGGGAGGGAGGAACAGAGAGATTCTGTTAGCTAGTTCACTCCCCAGCTGGCCAGGCACCTGGAACTCTGAGTCTCTCAAATGAGTGGTAGAGGTCTGAGCACTTGGGCACCCTCTGCTGCTCTCCCAGGCACACCAGCAGGCGGCTGGATCAGAAGTGGAGCAGCTGGGACTCGAGGTGGCACCCACACGCAAGGCCAGCGGCCGGGCTGTGCTTAAGCCAGTGGTGTATTTGTGTGACCATGTTCTTTCTTACCTCCGTTCTTCCAGTTCTTCTCCGTGGTGTTCCTGCCCACTGTTCTTGCTTTCTGCCTTCCTTTCTTCTTGCTGTGTCTCTAACAGCCTTGCTTCACGGATGTAGGTTAGCGGGTAGCTAGCAAGGAGGCGCTGAGGTCTTCATCCCCAATCTATCCTGCCCTTCCCCCGCAGCTGAAAACTACGAGGTCACAATAAAGGTCACCATGGAGACATAGCTGGTGACCACATTGGGTATTGTCGGCCAGCACCAGTGCTGTGCCCTGGTTTGGGGGAAGCTGACGTTTTGTTGTAAATTGTTGTTGATGTTATGTTGGGGCTTTTAATGAATCGGGATGATATTCTGCCAGCTCAGCCTTCAGACCAGAGATGGTCTCCCCAAGAAACTGTAGAATTTATCTGGAAAATAAGATGCTGGACTCTATGCTTGGTATATGCTTGCAATGAAAGAATCTAGACTGAATTTGAACTGTAATACTGCAAAAAGATGGAGGAACCCACCATGGGAGGAGGGCACGGGGAGGGGTTGGGGGAATCCCAGAGCCTGTGAAACTGTGTCACATAATGCAATATAATTAATAATTAAAGAAAAGAGGGCCCAGCGCGGTGGCGCAAGAGGTTAAGGTCCTCGCCTTGCACGCCCGGGATCCCATATGGGCACCGGTTCTAATCCCGGCAGCCCCGCTTCCCTTCCAGCTCCCTGCCTGTGGCCCAGGAAAGCAGTGGAGGACGGCCCAAAGCTTTGGGAACCTGCACCTGTGTGGGAGACCCGGAAGAGGCTCCTGGCTTCAGATCGGCATAGCATCGACCGTTGCGCTCACTTGGGGAGTGAATCATCGGATGGAAGATCTTCCTCTCTGTCTCTCCTCTCTGTATATCCGCCTTTCCAATAAAAAATAATAAAAATAAATCTTTAAAAAAAAAAAGAAAAGATTGAGTTGTAGAATAAGAATTGTAGTAGGAACTTCTACTGAGTTTTTAGATGAAACAAATGACAGAATTATTCTTGGATACCCTCATTTGACCATGACGTCAAAAATCTATGCCAGAATTTGTGCAGTTTTCTGTATAAAGGGGACAGCTTTCTTGCATTGTCCATTAAGATCATGAAATTGTAGTAGTCCATTTCTTTTCTACCCCTACTCCATGCACCCTGCTCGAGTTCTGCAGCTGGCACCTAATGGCATCTAATGACAACTTTTGTCTGCAGGAGACAACAGTGTCACAGTCAAGGAGTCACAATTCTTAGCTACTACTTTGCTCGCGTGGAGCCACGCTCAACGGCTGAGCCTCAGAACCAGCCTGCTCCAGAGGACAGCCGTGTGACCTTGCCGGCCACCTAGCTCAGTGTGTGCCTAAGTCCCTTCCTTGTTCGCCACTCCCTGTTAGAGAAAAGCTTTTCTCATCTTCAATTCGTGAGCTTGCAAATGACAGACCACAGCTGTCTCCTGCAGGCAAAATCTTGCAGCTTAGTTTCCTATCATCTAACCATGGATTTTTTTTTTCCATTTGAACTGGAAATCACATAGATGAGATCAAATTAACACTCTCAATATGGAGGGTGTTTGAATGTGATAACGCACCAGGCAGTCATCTTGTTCCTGCTGGAGGTTGTAGTGCCTGACCGCAGCACGGAGGCAGCAGTGGGCACACTGCATGGGTGTGGGCTGCAGCCTGCACAAGGACGTGGGCTCTTTCACAACCGCCATCTTTCCCACCCCAGCCTCCCCGCCCCCTCTCCTGCTGCAGATTGACAATGGAGACTGCGCTTTCCCAAGGGCCAGCTCCTTCCCCCACAGCCAGGCACCCTCCCTCTCCCAGCCCTGGTCAGTATACCTGGGGGCCAGGATGTAGGTCAGGGGCATAAAGCTGCACTGCTGGACAGCTGCTTGGGGTCTGTGCCAGGAGCCATCCATCTCTGCAGGGAGCCATGAGATGGCAGGTGCCTGATGCAGGATGCTGCCAGGACACAGCCTGGGTGTCATTCAGCCACCCTGCCTGGGGTACAGAGCCCTCAGCTGCACAGCTTCCCCCAGCAGGAGAGCTGCCGGCAGCCCCCCATGCTCCAGCAGCCCCACCCCCAGCCCTGCAAGCTGTCACGTAGCACAGGTGATGCTCTGCGCATTTCCCAGCGCCTCTGCAGCAGGCAGGTGGGGACTGCAGGCAGGCTGCAGGCCATGGCTGCTGCTCCAAGGACACGGGAGGCAGGAAAGGCCAGCGCCCTTGGAGACCACCAGGAGGCCGTGCCAAGCCGCGATTCTCTGTCATTGCAGTTCTGGGAGGTGATCAGCGATGAGCACGGGATCGACCCCACTGGCAGTTACCATGGAGACAGTGACTTGCAGCTGGAGCGGATCAACGTGTACTACAATGAGGCTGCTGGTGAGTGCTGGCCGGTCTCACCAAGGCCACCTTGCTCTGCAGGCAGAAGCCATGAACTGTGCCAGCAACATGCAAGTGGCCAGCGGGTGCCTCTTGCATTTTCATTTCAATGCCCACCATAACCAACGCGTCTTCCAGCTCCTGATGACTCTGGCACCTTGCCCAGTCTGAACAAACCTCTAGATTGCTTCGCCCAGCACAGGCCTGTCGACTCTTATTTTTTCATGATAGATTTATTTTTTATGACTTTTACACACTTGAGAAGGATGCATGCCCATGTGAGCCACCGATTAGGATGGGAAAGATCACAGAATGGGGGAAAGTGGATGAGACAACTGCTTCCAATCTTCCTGTTCTTCCCGTTTCAGGGGAAAGAGAGAGAGAGGGGGGCGGGGGGAGAGAGAGACTCCCAGCAGCTAACCACACCAGCAGCAGAGGATGTGGGGCGCCCACTGACATCCTAGGGTCCCCAATGTGGAGCCTGTTCTGAGGAAACTCCTTAAGTGGTTTTGATAGTTCTAAAATGCTGTTGATTTTGTTGCTCCAAGGATGAAGAAATCCCTCCAAAGTCAACCAGCTGACACAGTGCACCTCACAGTCTTAACTCACCCAGATACCTGCTGGCAAGGCTCGGCCAGGGGCGTGGTCCATTTTGTCCTGTCCGCCATGTTATCAGACATCCCCTGCAAGCCTCAGTGATCTGTCGGGTCCTCCATGTGCATCTGGGAATGCCGTCCACAGCACAGGCCCAGGTCTGACACCTGCACTCACGGTCAGGCCACATATCCTGTGATTCTCCCCATGGTTGGAGTTTTGAGTCCAGTGATTCTGTTGGGGGGCTTCCCAAAGAAATCTCACTAGGGATGGGCCCGGTGCGGTGGCGCAGTGATTAAGGTCCTCGCCTTGCACGCCCGGGATCCCATATGGGCACCGGTTCTAATCCTGGCAGCCCCACTTCCCTTCCAGCTCCCTGCCTGTGGCCCGGGAAAGCAGTCGTGGACGGCCCAAGGCTTTGGGACCCTGCACCCGCGTGGGAGACCCGGAAGAGGCTCCTGGCTTCGGATCGACATAGCATTGGCCATTGCACTTACTTGGGGAGTGAATCATCAGACGGAAGATCTTCCTCTCTGTATCTCCTCTCTGTATATCCGCCTTTCCAATAAAAAAATAATAAAAATAAATCTTTTTTTAAAAAAAAGAAATCTCACTAGGGGTGATCCCAGAACTGACTCCTGGGTGTGCCAGCCAGTATGCGGAGTGGCTCAGCCCCTTACCCGTATTAGTCTATGCACACACACTGGTTGTTGCAATTGCCCAGTCAGTTCTGTCTCCATTCCCATCTCTCATGCAGCCCAACCCTGCCCACCACACACTCTCCCCTCAGGCACACCAGCAGGAACTGCAGCCCAGCTGCAGCCTGGCTTGGCCCCTCCTGCCCCCACCCTGGACAGTCCCCAGTTCTGGCCCTAATGTAAATGGGCTGGTCTTGTGGCCCAGCCCAGCCTGCCCCCACACCTGACCTGCACATATGTATGGCAGCAGGCAGACCTGGCCTGGTCTGGGCTGCTCCCAGCCTCAGTTCTTGTGCTCACCTGCAGGGACTGCATTCTGTCAGAGGAGTTCTCCTCTGTCAGGTCACCTGCCAGTCGCAGATCACGTGCACACTGGTGGGTCCCTGGCCCAGTCTGACATGGCTTTCCTCCTGTCCTGGCAGGTACAGTGGCCTTGCCAGGCAAACCCACACACTCCAACTCTTATCATTGGGTGCTTCAGCTTACCCCTTCCTGGCCCACCCCCACACCGGCTCTCAAGTGCTTCAGTGGGTGCTGAGACCTAGTTCAGCCTCAGCCAGTGCTTACCCTGGCTTTCATGAGCACCAGTGCCCAGTCCAGCATACACCAGAGCTAGTCCACACTCATGCCGAGGGATGGTGTCCAGCCCAGATCACACACCCTTCTGGCTCTTGTGCTCACCAGTGGAAACCAGCCAGGGCCTAAGTCAGCTCCCGTTCCCCCCACAGGCAACAAGTACGTACCTCGGGCCATCCTGGTGGACCTGGAGCCTGGCACCATGGACTCGGTGAGGTCGGGACCCTTCGGCCAGATCTTCAGGCCCGACAACTTCGTGTTTGGTGAGTGGTCAGGGCAGGGGTGCTGGTGCAGGGTTTGCCCACTCCCAACCACCACACCCACTCCCGGGCTCAGTGCTGGGCCGTGGACAGCCTGGTCTCCTGTGCCTGGCACTCTCCAGCCTGCAGGGGGCTGGGTGGGCCTCCCTGACACAGCAGCCTCTGAAGCAAGGCTAAAGGGCAGACAGCACTTGAGATGGGCTTAATGGGCTGCAGGTCATTGCCAAGGGGCAGGGCCGGAAGGCTAGGACATGGCTTTAGAACTGCTTGGCCCTGCTCTGTCATCATGCTGTGCCTGCCCTCCCGGCTCGCGGTGCCCCATTTGAGTCATTATACTCACAGACATTCTCTGTTCTTAATTGTCTTCTGCCTCAACTTAATCTATAATAAACCCCGTGTTTTGCCAGTTACCAATACTTAGAAAAAAACATTCTTTGAAAGTTAGAGTTAGAGAGATATCTTCCATCTTCTCATTCACTCTCCCAAAATGGCCACAAGAGCCAGGGCTGGGTCAGGCTGAAGCCAGGAGCCTGGAATTCCATCTGGGTCTCCAACATGGGTAGCAGGAGCTCAAGTGCTTGGGCCATCTTCTGTTGCTTTCCCAGGTGCAGTAGTGGAAGTGGAGCAGCAGGGACTCGAACTGATGCTCACTGTGGGATGCCAGCACCACAGACAGTTGCTTAACAGGCTGTGCCACAGGATCCCACTGCTAACAGCAGAGAGGCAGGGAGAGTGGGAGATCTCCCAGCAGCTGCACAGGGACCCAGCCTGGCTTGCTCTGTGTCAGCAGTACCACTGCAGCCTGCAGGGACCATCGCATCGGTCAGGACTCCTGAAGCCAGTGCCTCCGCGGATTAGCAACGAAGCAGAACGTGATCACAGCGTCCCAGGGAGCCCCTGGAAATGCTGAACTAGCGGAGCATGAACTGTGAGGCTGCAGGAAAAGTGCAGGCAGCATGGAGAAGCCAGCTCGGGGACCACAGCAGGAGCAAGGGCTGAAATCCAGCTGCCTGCAGACACTTCCAGCAGACGCCGGTGCCAGCACTGCTCCTGCCCATGTGCCAGCAGGGAAGGGGACCACTCCAGGCTCAGCCCACATGGTCCCACTTGGGAAAGGCCCCTCTTTGGAGGGCCTCGAGGCCAGACTCACTCTCTCTTGCCTCTTAGGTGCAACAACACTGAGTGTTTTGTTTGGCCTCTCTCAGATCCCACTGGGTCCAGCCCGGAACCGCCCACACCAGCCACCTGCTCCTTGCTGTGGCTTCTCAGCTGCTTTTCCAGGCTCTTCACCCAGGACTGCCCTCACCAAGGCCCATTGTGGCACTGTGACGCGGCAAGTAGAGCTGCTACCTGCAATGCCAGCATCCCAGGGGTGTTGGTTTGAGGGCTGGCTGCTCCACCTCAGATCCCGCTTCCTGCTGATGTGCCTGGGAAAGCAGCGGAGGATGGCTCAAGTACACGGGTCCCTGGATCCCTTTGAGTAAACTAGCAGATGGAAGACCTATCTCCCATCCCCACTCCCTTTCTGTCTTTCAAGTAAATAAATCTTTTTAAAAATTTATTATTGCAAAGTCAGATATACAGAGAGGAGGAGAGACAGAGAGGAAGATCTTCCATCTGATGGTTCACTCCCCAAGAAGCCACAACAGCTGGAGCTACACCAATCTGAAGCCAGGAGCCAGGAAACTCTTCTGGGTCTCCCAAGTGGGTGCAGGTTCCCAAGGCTTTGGGCTGTCCTCGACTGCTTTCCCAGGCCACAAGCAGGGAGCTAGATGAGAAGCAGTTCGGCTGGGATCAGAACCGGCGCCCATATGGTATCTTAGCACGTTCAAGGAGAAGATTTAGCCACTAGGCCCTCGCACGGGGCCCCAAATAAATAAATCTTTAAAAGAAAAATAGAAAGAAAGTTCCACTCAGGTTCTTGTCTTTGGCTTTGCCTCTGAAGGATGCAACTTCATGGCTCCTATGACTTTGTGACCATTCACTCAGCAGCTGCAGACACCACCTTAAGCTGGGTACAGTGGGGAAGAAGGGTCCTCTGCCGAGCCACCTGCCCCAGCTTTGAGCTCAGGGGCTTCCCTCGCGGGCTCAGCAGGACTGGGTGCTCACTGTGGCGGCTCTGTGCTTCTTGCTGCCTCTAATCCAGACACTTTACACTGCAGATCTCCTTGTCCATGTACAGGGACCACAGTGGATCCCGGAGGGCAGCAGTGGATCCTAGAGGGCCACAGTGGATCCCGGAGGGCAGCAGCGGATCCCAGAGGGCCACAATGCTCCTGGAGGGCCATGGTGGATCTCAGATGGCTATAGCGGATCCCAGAGGGCTGCGGCAGATCCCACAAGGCTGCAGTGAATCCCAGGTGGCCACAGTTGGAGTGGCACCACTGCTTCCAAACTGAATTTGCCACCTGTCACTTGGAGGGGAAAATCTGAGGCTTCAACAAGGGCTCCTGAGATGAGCTCTCCTCTGGTCAGCTGACTCAGCATCTTTTTTTTTAAAAAAAAAGATTTATTTATTTATTTTTATTGGAAAGTCAGATACATGAGAGGAGGAGAGACAGAGAGGAAGATCTATCCCCAGTGGTTCACTCCCCAAGTGACCGCAATGGCCGGAGCTGAGCCAATCCGAAGGCAGGAGCCAGGAGCTCTTCTGGGTCTCCCACACATGTGCAGGGTCCCAAGGCTCCCGGTCATCCTCAACTGCCTTCCCAGGCCACAAGCAGGGAGCTGGATGGGAAATGGAGCTGCTGGGATTAGAATCAGCCACCATATGGAATCCTGGCCCATGCAAGGCGAGGACTTTAACCACTATGCTATCGTGCTGGGCCCAAGCTGGCTCAGCATCTTAATTACATTTGTAAATCCCACTACAGCTGAACCCGAATGAGGGTTTGATTGACAAGTGTGAACCAGTGTGGTATGCATGGGCCACGGGCGGGGAGGCCTGGGTCCGCAGGGAACTGTGGACCTTGGGGTTGAGGAAATCCAAGGGCTTGGGTGGCAAGAGTCAGCTACTTTCTTTGGACAAGTCCTTCCATCCCCCTCGGGCCTTGGCTTTGTTGTTGAGGATTCACTGAGTTTTCTTTGGAAGGCCCCGTGCCACGGAGGAGGGGAGCTCCCGCTCCCAGGCAGGGCTCTTGTTTGTCCGCCCTGCCCTCCTTCCAGCCCGGGCCTGAGGCTCCTGGCGTCCTGCCCTCGCAGTGGCCATCTGCTGACGGGCTTGCCTCCCGTCTTCTCACCCCCCGCCTAGGCTCTGCCTGCCCTTTTGTGGCTTCCTTTCCCCAGTCCATCGGGCAGCTCAGTGGGATCCTCGGGCTAGACATCTGTGCATCTGCTCCAGCAGGTCAACATACAAGCATTTGGGAATTAACAATCAAACTTCAAAGCCGTGAAACATCCAGGACTCACAAACGCCGAGCTGCAAGGGCCTTCTGCGTCATTCGCCACTGAGCCTGTCCCTTCTCTTCCCCCAGCTCACAGAGCACCAAGCTGTTCTCAGCCAGGGTCACATGGGGCATGACCGAACGAGACCTCAGTAGCTGGGCACACACTCAGTGCTTCAACACTCCAAGCTCTGGGGCCAGCATTGTAAAGCCGTCAGCCTCCAGGGCCATCGGTTCAAGACCCGGCCGCTGCTCCATTTCCGATCCAGCTTCCTGCTGAGGGTCTGGGAAGAGCAACAGAAGTGCTTGGGCCCCTGAACCCATGTGGGAGGCCTGGATGAAACCCCTGGCCTTGGGCTTTAGCCTGGCTCACCCTCGGCCATTGTGCCTATCTGGGAAGCGAACCAGTAACTAGGCAATCTCTGTCTCTGAAACTCTGAGTTAAAAACACACACACAACAACTCACTGCTCCCTGAAATCACTCTTGGATGATGTCTGTCACCATCGCGCACCGTGAACTCACTCCCAGGTGCTGTCTGTCGCCATCCAAATTAACTGCTTTCTTTCTCCCAGTTATTAGAAGAAACTGCTTGTCCTTCTGAAACTACAAGGCAGTGAAGCTTGAACTGGATCCTGTGCAAGAGTTTTGGGGGTCCCAAGTGCTCCGGCTGCTGGAGGAACAGCCCCGCATCAGACCGAGGATGTTCAAGTTTCCATTTGGTAAACTCCTCTCAAGAACTGTCATGGATATGCTGTGATATAAGTGGAGTTTAGGGCCTGGAGCTGTAGCCTAGTGGCTAAAGTCCTCACCTTGAGCACACCGTGATCCCATATGGGTGTTGGTTCTAATCCCAGCATCTCCACTTCCCACCTAGCTCCCTGCTTGTGGCCTGGGAAGGCAGCCGAGGACTGCCCAAAGCCTTGGGACCCTGCACCTGTGCAGGAGACCTAGAAGACGCTGGATTGGCTCAGCATCATCGAAAGCGAGAGAAAGAATGAACCTTTCCTCTGTCAGTTCACTCTCCAAGCAGTTGCAATAGCCAGGACGCGCCAGGCTGGAGCCAGAAACTCCATGTGGTCTCCTATGTGGCCGGCAAGACCTCAAGCACTCGGCTCACCTGCGGCAGCTTTCCCAGGTGCATCAGCAGGCAGCCGGGGCAGAAGCGGAGCGGCACTGGCACATCTGTGTCACAGGCCACAGCTTAACCTGTAGCGCCAACAGTGGCCCCTGCTGAGACACTTTGAAGAAGTAAGAATTCATTAAGGAAACACCATGATACATATTATCATCTCGTTACATTCTCAGAAAAACTCCTGGCAGTGTGCACATCAGCTGCAGCAGGCTGGGGACATCAGATCGCCCCCATTTTTTGGCACGCTCGGGGGCGTGGTTCTGGGGTCACTACGGACACCAAGCTCTGAGAGTCAACACGTTGACACAGAATCCACCTGATGCTGTGCATCTTCAGTCATCTCCACCTAATGCAAGGTACATGACACGTGAGCAGGTATTACACAGAACTGTTTAAAGGATGACAAGGGAGAAGCAAAGCTGTCTGGGAAGCACCGTACACCTGTGCTTTAGAACAGCTTCAACGTCTGCTGAGTCCCTGGCTGTGGGACCCGCAGGTGCAAGAAGGATGGCTGGGGCAGCCGTCCCAACAGGACTCCCACATATGCAAGTGATGCTTGGCACTCTGTGGGTACACTGGATACTACATGACAATGAGGCACAGACAACCTCCATCAACAAGGACATTTCCACACAGTCGAATGCAGCATTTCTCAGGACCTGGCTGGGAAGCAGGAGGAGTGTGTAAGAAGCAGAGCTACGACTTGGATATTAGCTTGGATGCCTCCCCGAAGTCTCCTGCTGATGGCACTAAGAGGGGGAGAACTCTAAGACAATAGGGTATCTGGTGAGAGGTCCTTAGGCGATTGAAGTTGTGCTCCCCCAGGCAAGGGTCGGATACAAACACTGGAGCTGGACGCTGCCTCTCACCTCTCTGGCCTGCCAAGGCCTCATTCCTCCACGTAAGCACCCAGCATTGCCACCCTCCACCTAGGCCTCACAGTGGACCCTGCCTCATCTTGTACTGTGAGCCAGCGTAAACTTCTTTGCTTCATGAGTAGCTTTCGTCTCGGGTGTCTTGTGATAGTGACAACATGCCAGTGCAACCAGGACTGGCTCACCCGGGCCGCGCAATGTAGGGAGCCTGAATGCTCTGGGCTCCATCGAGTACTTTTAACTTTAGAACACTGACTGTCCATTTCAGCCACAAACGAGAGGGGCCTTCATCTTTTGAAGGTGTTTCCTCCTCCATATTCATGTGTTCCACGGTCCTTACTGGTATACCCCCTGCAATGACCGGTATTGAGGAAAGATTCAGACCGGGTTGGCAATGGGCAGGTGGGGCAGCTTCCTAATTGGACGCTGAAATACAGGCAGTGTGGGTGGGTTGCCGATTAGGCCTGGGCTCGCTGGGGTGGGTGGTGACAGAACCCCGAAGCAGACAGGGCAGCGGCCGCTGTGCCAGGTGTACCCCCC